TCCATAGATCCGTGGAAGACACGGGCACTCCCGTCCTCATGAACGGAAACGTAGACACCACCGGGTCCACAACCGTTTGTCCAGTCGCCGACAGCAACGCCCCATCCTTGGTTCTCGCCAGCTTCCCGATCCCACCATCCAGCGGCATCGGCGACCGCTTCCAAAGTCTCTTTGTAGCCCACTTTGGGTTCGTTTCCACCGGCTGGGACAGCGTCGCCTTCTTCGCGCATGTTCATCAGACGGAATTTAACGGGATCCATACCGATGCGTTCAGCTATTTCGTCGAGTTGGGATTCACCTGCGAAAATGGCTTGTGGTGCACCGGGTGCCCTGTAGGCGGCTGTGCCTGATTTATTGGTGTGAACGCCGTAAGCGTCTACCCTGAGGTTCGGAATCTTATAGACCCCGCGAACCCGAATTGTGCTTCCGATGGATGCACCGGAGACGGAACCGGAATCCCAGAAAGCGAGTGCTTCCCTGCCAAGAATACGTCCGTCGTTCGTAGCACCAGTTTTGAGTTTGATAACACATCCGGGTGCCGGTCTACCATCAGTGAATTCCTCTTCACGCGTCATCTGTACGCGAACCGGTCGACCCGTTTTCTGCGAAAGTAGCACGGCTGGGACGTGCGTAATGATAACACCAAAACGTCCACCAAAGCCACCGCCCATTGTTGTGCCGATGACGTTAATTTGCGTCAACGGAATACCGAGAGTCCCAGCAATACCGGAACGGATAGCGAACGGACCTTGGGTGGATGCCCAGACCGTGACTTTGCCGGATGAATCCGCACTGGCAACAGAGACGTGCGGTTCCATGTAGGTTTGGTGGACCCGCGGAATCACATAGGTATCTTCAACAACGATATCGGATTCGGCGAAGCCTTTTTCCACATCACCCGCTTCGGAGTGGCTTTCGGCAGAGATGTTATAGTAAGCTTCATCAGGATATTTTTCTAATTCTGCCTCAAGTTCGCTGATTTCGTCGCTGTGATCGTTCTCCTTATCACGAGACAGTGTCCGAATTTGTGCGCTGATTTCCCGTCGATTGGGACCGTCCTTTGTTGCTTCCGCGTGCAGGTGAGGTGCCGACGGTTTAATCGCTTCCATTACGTCTTGCACAACCGGTAGCACTTCGTATTCAATTTTAATGAGTTCAGCGGCTTCCTCAGCAATATCCGCATCGGTTGCAGCAACGGCGGCAAGTGGTTCTCCCAAGTAAAGGACTTTATCAGTCGCGAAGACTCTTCTGCCACTTGACACGTCGTCTTGCGTAATGATCGCCCTGACACCGGGAAGTTTTTCGGCTGCGCTGGTGTCAATACTGAGTATGTTGGCGTGAGCATGTTTACTACGGACGATCTTGCCGTAGAGCATACCGACAGGGTGGACATCTGCACCGTATTGGGCGGCACCTGTCACTTTTTCGACAGCATCAACCCGTGCGACTGTTTGACCGACAACAGTATATTTTGACATCGAATTCTCCTTCTTTTATGGCCGTCGACTGCCGGCTTTCGGTTTCCATCAGCAAAGAGGTTTCTGGTGAAGGTACACCCTCTTACTGACCGCTGACCGCTGACCGCTGACCACTAATAACTATTATGCACTTGCAACGAGGTGGTGGAGTTTACCGCGTCCGATGGCAGTATTGCATCTTTTGCAGACCTTCACGGTATTCTCGCCGACTTCTCGTTCATAAAGCACTTTCACACCGGTACGCTCACAAACCGGACAGGTGCCACGACCGTTATTATATTCGCCGTTGTGGAGGTTCCCGTTTGGATCGATATAGAGGTGTCTTATGCCTTTTCCACGATGAGTCTTTGCCATGTTTTCTCCTAATATTGGCTATCAGCAGTCGGCTTTCGGCTATCAGTGAAGAGGATTTCTGGTTCAGGGACATCCACTTGACGCAACCCGCGTGTGGGCTTGCGGGACAATGCCGATGACTGATGGCTGATGGCTATTATGCAGTTGTTCGGACTTCTTCCGCCGCTTGCAGAACTGCTTCAAGAATCTTTGTATATCCAGTACAGCGGCAGATATTCCCGCCGAGGGCATGTCTGAACTCCTCTTCAGTCCTGTCCGGATTCTCGTCTAAGAGTGCCTTTGATGCCATGATGTAACCGGGGGTGCAGAAACCACACTGATAACCACCCGTGTCAATAAATGCTTGTTGAACAGGATGGAGTTCCCCTTGGCTGGCTAAACCTTCGATGGTCGTAATCTCTTTGCCAGAGACGGTGACACCAAGTACCATACAAGACGTGACGGCTTTGCCATCAAGGATAACAGTGCATGCACCGCAGTCGCCTGTGCTACATCCCTCTTTGGTACCCGTCAAACCGATCGTATCGCGAAGTATAGCGAGTAGCGTTTTGCGCGGTTCAATAAGTAAATCGTGTTCGTCCCCGTTGACCGTTAGACTGACAGGGTGTTTTGCCATATTTTTTCTCCTTTATTATACCACCATGATTCCATAGTACAACGCGAGGTGGAACGCTCCGTGCCTCAGCGCATCTTTATGTAAACAAATACTTGGGCTTATGCCCTTGCAACAGCCTCTTGTAAGGCTCGCCTCGTGAGCACATCGACCATTTCTCTGCGATGTTCTGCGGAGCATCGCAAATCGGATATCGGGCTGGCTGCGGCTGCGGCTGCTTCGCCGGCTTGTTCCAGGAGTTCCGCCGTAAGTTCGTTCCCTCTTAAGAGATTCTCTGCTCCCGTCGCACGAATCGGCGTAGGCGCGACAGCGGCGAGTCCGATTCGGACACCTGTGACTATCCCGTTGTCCAGATTGACAGCGGCGGCAACACCGATAAACGCGAGATCCATCACTTCCCGGATTTTATGCTTGATATAATGGGAACCAGACATCGGACTCGGTAGACGAAAGCGTGTGATAATCTCACCGGGTGTTAAGACGGTCTGCCCCGGTCCTGTGAAAAGCTCGTCAATTGGTACGCTCCGTTCGCCATCAGCACTTGCGATGTCAACCTGTGCGTCAGCCACAAGCAAACCGGCAACTGTATCCGCAGCAGGAGAAGCGTGCGCAATGTTTCCACCGATGGTTGCGAGATTGCGAATCTGGACAGAGCCAATTTCTGCGGCACCTTCTGCCAGGGCAGTGTGGTGCTTCTGAATATCCGCTGATAACTCAACCTCCCGTGCCTTCGTCATTGCACCGACGCTAATACTGCCATCAGCTTCTGTGGTAACACCCGCCAATCCCGGAATTTTCTGCAAACTAATTACGGACTGCGGCGTTTCGGTGAGTGCCTTCATACCGATAACGATATCTGTCCCGCCTGCAAGGAGCAGCGCGTGCTCCTGTGCAAATAGCTGAGAGGCTTCCGCGAGGGTGGTAGGTTCAAAAAACTCAAAACTGTTCAAATCTAATCCTCCGTTTCATTCTTTAATTTTACCTTGCGGGAAAACGACGTAGGTTTCCTGTTTGTAGTGCCTCCCTTAAATCCGCCCTCCACTACGTTACGGGCTACGTTTTCGAGGCTATTCATCATAACCCACTACCCCTTCCCTTATAATAAGAGATGTATATGTTTCCGCACACCCAAAGATACTTTAAAAGAATACCCGATTGGATGGCTATTTGTCAACCTTAAATTCGTTGAATGCTCCGTTATGGAATGTGCCAACCCGGTATCGGTTCAGCGCGGAGTCCTTCCAATTCATAAAGCTCCTCTACGCTGACTTCGCGACCGAGTTTCGCTGACAAGAGTGCCCCGCTCATAATCTCTGTAACCTTCAGACCAACATCCCCATTACTGACAGGTTGGGCATCGCTGTTACAAGCGTCAAGGAAATCACGGAACTTATCGGGGAAAGACGTATCCGGCAGTTCTAACGGCGTTTCGACAAGATTGCCTTGATAGCGTCTGCGATTGCCCTGATCGTCGGTATCCCACTCTCCGTTTTCAAGGAAAAGCTTATCGTTGCTAAACGAACCTTGAGAACCGAAAATGAAAATACCTTGTGGTTGCCCTGCCATATTGCTCGACCAGCCGTTTTCATAAGTAAAGGACATGCCGTTGGTGAACCGGACAAAGACAGACGCGTGTTCTTCAACGTCGTTGATCTCTTCACCTGTGTATTCAGGGAGCATCCCACGATAAGCAATGCCGCTGATTGTGGCAGGTTGTGGAGAACCGAGCAGATAGATAGTGCGATTGATATCGTATACGCCTGTGTCATATATGGTGCCACCACCGCTGTAAACGGAATGGAGGAACCATCTGCCGTAACCGAACATATCCACATTAGGCCTACCGCGGACACGGTAACTGGTAAGCCTACCGTAATAGACATCACCGAGTTTCCCAGAGGTGATATAGTCTCGAATGGCGTAACTTGTTGGGTCAAGGCATGTGCCGCCGCTCTGGTATGCAAGTTTAACACCAGCGGCGTCACAGGCATCACGCATATTTCGCGCCTCCGTTGCCGTGCGCGCCATCGGTTTTTCGCAGAAGACGTGCTTTCCAGCTTTCGCTGCTGCGACTGTGGCGGGTTCATGGACAAACGGCGGTAGGGCAAGGCTGACCGCGTCTAAATCACACTCCCTCAACATTTCGTTGTAGTCGCTAAAGATTTTTGACTCCGTTGTCAGCATATTCTGCCCAGAGTGCAGCATTTGCGTTCAATTGCTCGCGTGCTTCCGCTGTATCTGCCTTTTCTGCTTCCTCTGTTGCGGATTGCGCGCGCGACGCTGCACCGGAAAGGGCTTCCGCATGTCGCCGCTTTACATTCGCGTCCACCGTATCGCAAACAGCAACGATTTCGGCGTGCTGTGGATGTGCAAGATACCCGTTGACATGTGAACCGGCTACCATACCGCATCCAATAAGTCCAATTTTAATCCGTTTTGACATTGTGATACTCCTTCGTGGCGTTCTTCTAACAGCAAAACTGGCTTGTACGTCTCAGCATCAGGAACTTATCCTTTTTTCAGGGGCGGGATTAATCACGATCGGGAAATTGTGCTTACAGTGAACCCGATGGCGAACTCCCAGCACCTACTTTGACGTGTGTATCTGCCAACTGCGTTTGCACGTGCGCAATGCACTCTTGAAGGTTCTGAAACGGGGAACTCGGATATGATTCTATACTAAAATTCAGGTCGTTCTCACCGAAGGTTACCATATCCACACCCGGTTTTGCGAATTTACGGACGTTAATCACGGCATCAACAGATTCAATCTGTAAGATGAGAATGCCGGTATTGTTCCACCAATCGGCATACGCAAGACGGTCCATGCCGCCTTTGATACCGTAACCACTGCTGGGACCCCAACTCCGTTTTCCCATCTGAGGATAGTAGAATGCGTTAATTGCCTCGTCCACCGTTTCGACGTTCTCGACTTGCGGCACGACAATCGCGAGGGGACCGAGATCCAACAGATTGCCGATGAGATACGCGTGGCGGGTATGTTTGATACGGAGCTGCACGCCTACATCGAATTCACTCGCCATAGCACAAAATTCAACGAGTTTATCTTCATTTGCGGCTCCGTGTTGATGGTCGGTACCGACCAAATCGCAGTCACCTTGACCGAGAACTGCTTCCATCTCGTCTCGGGTGCAACCGAAGGGAGCACCAGATGCAATGTTAATTGCCTCTTTGTTATGGATGCGTTTGTTTTAAAGACACTGAATGACCTCCATGGGGTTCAATCAGATTGTGATGTC